GTTATCGATGGGTCAGGCGATAAGGCGTTGTCATGCCCAGGGAGGCAGGGAGCACCGCCCCACCTGGTCTCAACAGCTCCTGAAGATGGTAATAGAATACTTTTTGGACACATTTTACACTGTAACCTAGGACACCTTCCCACAGTAATTCAGCCTTGATCCTTACACTTTCTCTGGACATCTGACTCCCTGAGAGTTTAACCCAGTTTGGCTGCCTTAGAGGAGAGGTATGATTTCCATTCCGAGGGGGTAGCAGTGCTGGGTGCATATTCCCTCCCCACAGTCAGCCTCTTCACCTCAAGCTTCTTGACTTCTGCTTGGCCTCAAGAGAAAAAAGGGAAGAGGCTGGGTTCCTTTCTTATGGCTGTGGGAGGAAGAGCTGGAAGCCTGGTCTAGTGTTGTAGGACTTGTTTATATGTCACATTCCACGTGGTATAGGAAAGTAACTTTATATATGACTGTAACCTCTGGTTAGTGACGTCTGGCAGTCATATGATTTGATTGCACCATATTTATGTTGCTTCAGGCAAGTCTTAATTATGAACATCTTGATTTTTCCACCAGTTTTCCCATGAAGTTCACCATGTCCACATCAATCAGATCTGAATTATTTAAGCCCTTCCACAAATGTGCTTTTTTGGTTAGATTGAATGTGTCTAGGTTCAATGTGAGGTTTTCCAAAGTGACTTCATTTCCTAGTAGGAAACAAGTGTGGGAATTTGACATGTGTCCCGAAGTCCAGCCGAGGAAGCGATGCTGGGCAGCAGCTCTCTGCGGGCAGGCCTGACTGGCTGAGCTGGGGCCAGCAGCAAGGGCAGGGGCCGTGCACTGTGAGGTGTGCGGTGAGGTGGGTGGCTATTGCCCAGAGGAGCTCTGTCCCTGGAAAGGAAGAGGGCTCTGTCATTCCCTCCTCTTCAGGGGTGTCTCATTTTGCGAGCACGAGGAGTACCTTTGTGCTGACTGCTGGGGACACGGATGGCAGAACTTCTGGCACAAGTGACCCTCCAGGAGCTTGTAAACTTCAAGAAAATTAAAAATGCAAACAGTGAAGTTACTCAGACATCCCAGTAACGTGCTGGGACTGAGCTGGAGCTAACAAATCCCTAAAAACCCAAGTTGCAGGCCAGTCAGGTGTTTTGTCACTGCATTTCCCAGGCAGTGGAAGAGCAGGGCAGAGCCATCCAAACTGACTTTTTTATCCAGGCCAAAGACTGTACACGAACAGCTAAAGAGCTTCCATGCCCATCTGTCCCTAGAAGCAATGTAGCTGCATTTGCCAGGGTGACATGCCAGCGTTAGTCCTCCCTCCCAAAGCCAGTTGGCTGGCTTTTGGTGTCTGTGTGTCTTTGACATAAGCCATTCACAACTCCCAGAAACCTGGGAGCCCGCTGCATTGTCAGAGGTTTTTCTTTTTACTTCCTTCTAGAGGAATTGGCAGGAGCACCTGCAAACCCTCCTGGGCCCAACGGCAAAGGCTGAAAGTTTCAGTCTGAGTGGGTTCTAACTTGTCACCCGGAGCTAATGGAAAAAAATACATTTAGTTTGGCAGGCCAAGTAGAGGTGCTTGACCTCCAAGTCTTTGTCTCTTCATTAGTTTTGCCTTAGAGAAGTTGTGGCAGCAAAGCAGGGTGGGGATTCCCTCTTGCTCTACCCAAACATGGCTCAGTGGGACGGAGATCTGGACTTCCCAGACCTTTCATCAAACCAGCAAACATAGCCAGGTTGCCAAGCCCAAACTTTCAAAAGTCAGAAGCCAAGCTGCAAAACATCACAGGACTTGCTTAAAACCACAAGGTGTTTCTCAGATGTTTCCTCTGGGCACTGAGGTTTTATTCCATTTTCAAGTGAAAACCAAGAGAAACATATTCATTCTAAAAAAAACCCTGAAAATATTTCATGTGAGCACTAGAGTACAAAAGATTAAGAAGAAAACCTAAAGTCACAAAGGCTTTTGACTCTCATAAAAACTATGGAAATAACTTATTTTAATTTCAAAATCTTCTAAGTTATAAAAGTAACATTTTTGATAAAGCAACTCTGACTCATTCTAACACTTTTTATCTTCATTCATGCATGCTTTTGACTCAGACTAAAAGACTTGGATTGCAAAGCCTCATGTGTGTGTTCTTTTTTTTTTTTTTTACCTTCACAGCTTTTTTTGGGAAATACCTCAATGAATACAATGGCAGCTACATCCCTCCCGGGTGGAGAGAGTGGGTTGGATTAGTGAAGAACTCCCGCTTCTATAATTACACCATTTCTCGCAATGGTAACAAAGAGAAGCATGGATTTGATTATGCGAAGGTATTTTCCAGACACATAAATGCTGCATCATTAATCCATATAAAAATAACTTTCAGATAATTGATTAACCAGATAATTAATTAATTAACTAACTACAACCAAGAAATTGCAGTCTCATTTTCTCTCCAGGGCATTGCTGATCAATTTTCACATGAGAATATTAATTGCACAACAGAAGAAAGTTTCCAAGGGCTCTTCAGTGGAGCCTGGTGATTACTCCCTCCCTCCTTCCCTCCCTCTCTCTGCTAGAAAGTGATGGTTTGGTGGCAGAAGCAAGTAGTAAATAAAGGCCTTTCCCTCAAATAATATTGACCCTTGCACTACTGAACTTTAAAGTTAGCTGAGTGTTGTCAGTTATTACCCATATAAGAAACCTTAGTTGATGTTGGTTTCCACTATACAGTGCACACGAAAAAAAAGGCTGTGTGCCTGTGGTGTCAGGCTCCGGATGTGACTATGAGAATAGATAAGTGCAAGAACATGGCTGTTGAAAACTTCAGAGCTTATTTTTTCTCTTGACAAAGTTTGGAAAGTATGCTAAGGTGACCTGCCCGCTGCCGCAAAGTTTCTCAGAAAGGCTTAGGAGCGCAGATCGCAGACTTTCCAGCCTGCAGAAAGCAATCTGGAATTTCCTCAGACTGTGTCTCACAGAAGATGATACAGATGTTGCAGCTGTGGTTTCTGACCCATGTAATGAGATTTTATTGGAAGCTTGCGATGCCTGTTTCTGATTTCCCCACCCGTACAAATTACATGGTACAGATTGTATATTTATACAGAGTAAAAAAAATGAAAATGGAGAATATTGGTTAGTTATACATTCCTTACATACACTGTGTATGTAGCTAGAATAAATAGGGAAATAGGAGGGGAGGGATGCTTTGGAAAGCAATCATACAAGCATTTCACTTGAACAGGCCACAAACCCAGAAATTATCACAACCCTGATGCCTCACGCTCATTACCCGTTTTGGAAACCAAAAGGTCACTCGCCGTCTCTTCCGCATCCATCCAGGGATTGTAGCAGCCAGGGCTACCATGTCTGCTCTGAGCATGCCACGGGAGAGGGAAAGGGGCAGGGGGGACAGGGAGCAGGCGAGCGAGGAGGTCACAGCTTGTTGGCTTGTCCTAGCACTGACATGCGACACAGACCTTGTCCCTCAGGCTCTGCTTTTGCAGCTGTTCGGGGCCTCGAATCCACTACATGTTATTAGTCATGCCCGGAAGTGCTTGAAATTACAAACATTGTCTCAGCACTTTCTCAATGAAGCTTGCACTAGACCTCCAGGCCAACAGTGAATACTCTAAGGTGGCAGGTTGTTTAATATAAGTTTTCATCTTTTTTTCCTAGTTCATTTTCCCCCCTTCCCCTTGTAGGCTTCCATTTGCCACCTTGGCTGTGGGTTAAGCCAGTTTATTAGCGTGTCGCAGCCTTAATCTCAGCAGCTGCACTGCTTAAAGTTGCACAATTAAATGAACAGAGCCTGCATGAATTCAACTACTCCTTGCATTCACATTTGCAATTTCTTTCATAAATATTTTTGCAATCTCTTCCCTGTTGTAGCTTTCTTCCACTTTGTGCTTATGCAAAAGTATACTGTGAACAAAGAGCACACAAAAAATGTTTATGTAAACAGGAAACCAACGTAAGAGTTAATGATTTCTTGCAGTTAAGAGCCATTACCTTGTGAAAGTGTTTTATCAAGAAATATATCTTGGTCTGTCATTTTAAACATTACTTAGCATTATATTACAAAATTTGATAATCATATTTACTTAATGCCTTCTGTTCTATCTGATTTGCAAAATACTGTCTCATTTTATTTGGCATCACCTGCTTAAGAAAGTAATTACTGCTTAGTCTCCCCCATGCTCCCTCGAATCATACATCTCTTTGATGGTATGTTTCTACTTCCTGATCTGAGCTTTAATGAGGACTTGAAAATAACATAATAACATGATAATATGTGATCTAATTAATCATGCAGTTTGTAACTGTTGCTTTGTGTTAATCGTATGTTCCAGGACTACTTCACAGACCTAATCACTAATGAGAGCATTAATTACTTCAGAATGTCTAAGAGGATATATCCCCATAGGCCCATAATGATGGTCATCAGCCACGCTGCACCCCATGGCCCCGAGGATTCGGCACCGCAGTTCTCAGAGCTCTATCCCAATGCTTCACAGCATATGTAAGTCAAAATTACACCCTGCCAGACCTGCTCGTTATATCTGCTTCTTGTGAGGTATTTATTTATGGAGACGTTGCAGGAACAGAGAATTCAAATATAAGAAACTCAACGTAAGTGGTGAATGTTTGCTTGTTTCTTTGGCTGTGCTTGCTCCTTTCGGGGAGAGAGTGACAGCTCTGACCATTATTAAAGCAAAGAGAAGCTCTTTTCCTCCTGGGAAGTTGTGGGAGATCAAAAGGTCAGTGTTTGGCTTTGTAAGGGCAGCTTCTTACAATACCCTGAAAATATGTAGACACAGGTCAGGATCTGTTGGAAAGATATTACTTCCTTCATCTTCGTCTAAGATAAGCGCTTCCTGGGCTTTAACTAACTGAATGCATTGAGAGTAAAAACACCCTTTTGCAGCTTTTGAATGCACCAGACTTGTTTATGGAGTAGATACTGGCAGATTCCTAAACTAGCCTATTAGACTGCATTTTTAGTTCACATGCTTAATATTTTCTGGTGATGACACTGTAATCAAATAAAAGGACTCTTCATTTTGTTCCTAGAACTGAAACCAACTCCAGGTAAAAATCTGAGGACAGTCCTAGATTCTGCATCTTGCTTTATACCTTGAATATTCTCGGTCCTTTTCCTCACAGTGAGGTGTTAAGGGAGGTTTCCATTGCCCTTCTGTCTACTGTGGGCATGTAGACCACTCTTTCTATTTGTGCTTAAACAATGTCTTTGCACCTCTTTCCACACAGAAAGAAAAACTTAATAAAATATTTTAGCTGGATTGTACATTTATTTTGCCACTGAAAATGAGGAGGAATCAGTTTCATCACACAGTGGAAAATCTCCTTGGTCTACAAATCGCATTTTGAACACACTGCAGTAGCTCACATGCAGGGATGTTTTTTGTAATTGCATTAGCTACTTTAAAATTGCAAGGAGTAGCAGTTACTGCATGCATAAACTGATCACTGGTTGTGGCCATAGTGACATTTGTTGTTCGTGGCACATGGTTAAATACTTGTTAGTTTGTAATTTTTTATCCTTTTATTGGCTGCTACTTTGTAGATATGCCACTTTCCCTGACCTTACATTATTAACTAGATTTTTCTTATCCTATACTCTCAATGATCCCACATTCCTGAGACTAGACTTTGCAAGTAATGCAAATGTTTCGTAGTTACTTAGATATTCAGGGTGATTTCTGCCTGTATACAGAAGTGGTGAGATTGAGATTCTACTTGGTAAATAAATACTCACTTGAAATTGGTTCTCAAGTAATCATCCTGAAGAATTATTATCACCTTTTTATGTACTAGAGGTAAAATAAGATAGACATGAACACATTAAACCTGTCATATTGGGTTGTATGAAAGAACTTTCTAACTCAGTATCCTGAGTTACATGCTCCAGAAGAAAGCAGCAAGGAATGCTTGGGGGGTGGGGGT